GCTGTGAGACAGATATTCATCCTCCACCCTCCACAAGCAAAATGACAAACTGCATTTCGCCCTGCGCCCCTGTGCTGCACAATGACAATAAATTAAAGCCTGTAACCTTCGATTTGTACATTTTCATCATCAGACAATAGTCAGAGGATTCTGAGTATGCATTTTCATACGATGCTTTCTGCCTCTTTTGCTCCCCACAAGGACTTTTTACCTGCATTCAGCCAAAGCCTGCTCAAATGTGATTGGTCAATACTACTCCGACTACAAACGGAAACAAGAATGCTTCCATTATCAAAATCTTGTATCGTTTTTTATGGAGAACCAGTAGGAAACCAGTAAAATTACTGCTACGAGGTAAATTTGTATCCTCACATTACGCATTACCGAAGTAATTTATTTCTACAGGTCAGTTTTCGAGAACTCTGCTGGCTATAGCTAGCGAACAAGAGGCATATTCTAGTGACAAATGGCAGCGAGTCTACTGTAGTAATAATGCTAACTTTTTTTGTGGACTGACCCTTTAAGAACACCACAAAAATGGCATTAGCGTGGCCTGTGGTGCTAAGGGAAGTTGAGACCAGGCCCTTGTGTTTGAAATGGATGGTGAGGTCAGCGGCCAGTGAGTGTGGTTCATTAGTTTGCATCTGTGATTGGCTCCACTGAGTGACTTATGGTTGTAATTTAGCCTTAATTATATACACCATTACTTTAACTCTAATTAGACTGTCACTAAGGGGAAGGATAAAGGATACGCACAAACTTCCTGAAGAGATTAATAGATACAGGGTTTATGACAAATATGTTCATTTTAAAGAACATCCCAGTGCATGAAAAGAGAAGCGTCGGAAAATGTATGACATAGACACAGTGTAAGCAATGTAAATCACAGGCATCCTAAACATTATAAGAAAATTACAGCTAGGCGATTACGAAGTGATGTCGAGTTCAATGCTCCAGCCCTGACCCTGGGGTCATGCTTTTATAGTGGACCACTTCATCACAGAACAATCTGCTGGGCAATTGCAGACTAAAGACACACAACCTCACCTGATGACCTTGCCTCATGATCCATGAAGGGAGGTTGGAGAATAAAATAAACAAGAAATAATAAGAAAGATAGATTTATTATGTCTTTTTATAAATTGGTTCTACCACACTTCATAAATGTTTGTCATGTCATGGTGGAATAAAGGGAAATCTTTAGGGTGACTGGTGGTAAGTGTTATTGAGTAATTGTGTCTTGTAACAATTGTCTTACTTCAGGGTCAGCATAGAGTAGAGCATGGAGTTTTTACTGGACTGATACTTTACAGCATTGGTTTTATCACTGCAATGTAGGCAAAGTTTACACCAATTATCCTTATGTATATTTGGTTTTACTGACTTATGATTACCATGTAGCAGTATCAACATGGATTTACCTAATTGGTCATTGGCATTTCCAAAATATCTGAAAAATGATACAGACATAATTTAACAAAATAAACAATGGAACATTAGATTGATAATATTGACAATCATTTATCAGAAAACTGTGTACTATAAGGCAATTTTCCGTTTTGATTTAACATTGTTAGCAAATTTTCTTTACCATTAAAACATTTCTACCAATTGGTTGAGCAAGTTTAAATCATCAAATCATTACAGTCATCACATTTTTGGGGGTATATATTGACATGAATAGTTCAGTAAGCCTTCTGAAATTAAACAAAATTAAATTAAAAGAATAATTATGAAAACTCCATGAATAGGCCACATGCAAAGGGCATTTTTTCATCTAATGTAACTTCCTAGGAGTCCACCTGACAAAGTCTGGTTTTGAAAACTGCAGTGCAATCTGGAGATTCTTTGGGGGCCCAATGTAAGAGTGTTAAAGATGGCTCAATCAGGTCGAGTTAACCACATCATAACTCAAAATGTGCTCTACCAACAGTTGAGAAGACCATGATGATGGTTTTAATGGAAGAAAAAAGAAGCAGTCTCGAGCTGCCCTTTCTTAACTGAAATGGGATTTGAACTGTCTTGGTTTACTTGGTTTGTCCAGTCTGATGGCAACTGAGGCAATGGGTCAATAAAGTGAATACATAGGAAATAGTGAATGAAATGAATGATGAATTAAATGATAATCATTAGCTGCAAACTGTATTTTAGAGAAAAATGTAATTGTAATTGTGTAAAGACTTCTCGTGAACATGCTCTGGTCAAATGTATTAATATACAATTAATTTCCAAAGACCAATCCGACTTGACAATAACACCACCTAAAATTCAGAAACTTCAAAGTCCTATTAAGAGACTAATTTCACATGGGATTGATAGCAGACCACCTTAGTGTGTCACACAGATAATATTCAGGAATTTAAAAATGAAAGCCCTTTAAAATTTCAGATATGAGCTAACGTCCTGTTAAAAGGAATTGGCATATTGTATCAGTAACACTCTAAAGTGGTTTGCTGTCATTCTGAAGTGAAATGAGTCTGTTACAATGGGCTGTTTTCTTTAAGTCGAATCAGATTTAGACGGCACACAGCTTATATATGAGTTTTTAAAGGGCTTTATTGATATTCTTGGAGGCTCTGATGTGGTCTGTTATTAATCTTAAATGAAATTAGTTTGTGACAATATAGCATTTCCTTTTCATTTAAATCTGAATTTAGAGGGAAGATACGTAGCTCCTATATGAGATTAAAAGGGTTTTAATTTTGGAATTTTACATCAGAATATCCTAAATTTTCTCTGGGTAACACTCTGAGGTGGTCTGCTGTCATTCTGTAGTAAATTAAATTTGTGGCAACAGCAAGTTTCCTTTTGATTTTAAACTGAATTTAGAGGGAAGATGGCTCATATATGAGATTTTAAAGGGCTTTAATTTGAGAATCAAATTGTCATCTGAGTGTCATTCTGAGGTAGTCTGCTAAAACTCCCATTAATCACCAAGTGCAACCGGGAAGATTCCGATTTTGAGGTTGTGTACTGTAATTTTGAAATCAGATTGGTCTTTGGAAATGTGTTCTTTATTAATGAGTTTGACAAATAATTCACACAATCAGAATTCAATTTTTCTCTGAAATACGGTTTGCAGACAATAATTATTTTTGAATCAATCTAATTTAATTTTTATTTAATTTCCTGTTTATTGAATTAGTTACATTTATTTATTTGTTTGTTTACTTATTTACAAATTAATTTATTACTGACAAACAGACTGACTGACTAACTGAATGAACATGAAATGACCGATCACATTCACCGGAACAATGCTGTATTATACACTCTTACCATAATGCCAAGTATATACACGTACCGCAAAACAACGTGGGGGCTGGCTTGACCTGTTTTTCAAAGGGGAGGCTGGCTTGATTGCAGATGTATGACGGGAAGAGGCGCAGAAAAAGCAAATGGCCAAAGCGAGACTCAAAAATTACATGACAACTAATATTTGTTTACGATAGTCGTTTAGTAACTCAAAAATTACATGACAAGTAATATTTGTTTACGATAGTCGTTTAGTAACATCCCACGCAGAAAGAGCTGCAGAACATCGAGTATATTCGATATATTGCCCACCCCTATTTACAGCTATACGGTAGGCTATATCCTATTATATCTGATGATTGGCTGTTTTCTGTCTCTATAACAAGTATGACAGTCAAATAACACAATGTTCTGTCTTGTTGTTGAAATGGATGGCAGATCTCTTTAGTCTATTGCAGGACAATGTCAGTTTTATGGCACGGGTCACATCTGCTATGGGATAATGACAGGGGTAAGCCAAATGCAACATGAGGTAGGTGCTTATTTGTGTGTGTGCAAAGTATGTGCGTGTGCTCATGCACGTGTGGTTGAAAGGGAGGACTAATGAGTCTTCTATGAGGTATTATCTGTACCTTAGCTCGGCACTCAGCAATAATAAAAGCCAGCATTGCAGAGCTCACTAACAGGAGTCTGCAATACAACACACACCTCTGCCAATTCAAGTGACAAGCATCCACTTATGAAGTACAAACCTCTTCTTGGATCAAAAACAGTTAATCTGCTTAATCTGATGACTAAACAGATTGTTTCAGTTGTTTTAGAATCATATCATTTTAAAGTAGTTTTTTGGTGGAAATCTGAAAGGGACTCAAGTGGAATCACTGTATCTTACAGTGTTGATATTATTCTCAGATTGTGAGATATTTCTGCATGATGTGGGTTCACACAGACTGTCCTTTGGGTCAGGATCAGCTGACTATTGGCAGCTGCACTATATTGTGTAATGCTGTCTGACGGCTAAGCTAATTATGAGATTGGTCTTAGAGTGCAGAGTGTCAGCTTAGAGTGTTGTAAACACAGTTCAAAATGGCACCAATGACCCAAATCCATTCCTGTATCCACGAATCAAAGCATTTCTATTGGAACTTAAGTGTCTCTATGACTATTTATCATTTAGATGTACATGATATGTACAAAGCTTTAAAAGATACAACACAATGTGTGACAGGATCTAAATCAATCAATCATATTCGATGAGAGTGATAATGACACCTACGAGATATGGGACATGACCATCTTTTGGACCTATCCCTGGTTCCCCCAATAAATCATGATGGAATTATGTGCTTCTGAGGCCATGACTCTCCAATCAAAGTATGTGAGTGGAGGGAGAGAGAGAGAGAGAGAGAGAGAGAGAGAGAGAGAGAGAGAGAGAGACGCCAATCCCTGTGAGGTGAGCCGTGGGAGAGACGCAGAGTAATCCCGTGGAGTGGAAAACGAGGATATTAGAGCTTTCTGAAGTTGGATGTCACGCAAAAAACAGTTCTGCTTTACTGGGACTGACTGGTCAACTGGTTTGGAGGCTCAATTACCTCCAAACGAGCAACATGAAGGAGGAGGAGGGCAGCGGAGCGCACTGAGAGATAGTCTAGTTGTTAGCGTTGTGTTAACAGCGTTAGAGTATGAAGGGATGTGAGCTGAACTTGTGGTAGAATGGCACCTTATCTCACATGGATCTCTGAGGGATGGCAGCTTTCCACCACCAGCATCACCACCATCCGAGCGCGGACCTGCGGTGGCTCTTCCATCGGCTCACCATCGCGTCCTCTCTGAGCATCCTCTGTTTCTCCTTGGTTTATCTCCTCACCGGATGCAGTGATCCGGAGCTGACAGAAAACTCTGAGATCAAGGCACCCACACGCGAGTTTCTCGTTTCAGGGTCAGGATGGCCGTACGAGAGAAACGGAACTAGCGTTGTCAAGGAGGTTACCACCGTGACTGGTGAAGGCGCGTTCAGCGGTCATCCCGGGCTGGAGGCAAACAGCTCAGGGAAGGAATGGACAGCCACTCGGAGGTTACCGCAGGCTCTGATCATAGGGGCTAAAAAGGGAGGCACCCGGGCTCTACTGGAGTTTCTGCGGCTCCACCCGGACATCCGTGCCTTGGGGTCGGAGCCGCACTTCTTCGACCGGCATTACGCACGGGGGCTGGACTGGTACAGGTACGCACACATTAGGCATGAAATCCATCTTAGCTAAGTATCAAAAAGAGATGTCTCCATTTTATTACTCTTCATGTTTTCTTTGATTTCACAAACTTTATATACTGCATTTAAGGCAAAGTCTTAAAAACTCAGTCACTGTCTCTCTTTGTCATTTAAATGGCCTTTCACTTGAGTCCTGCTTTCTGTGTGTTTGTGCATATGAATTAATGAATGAATATCTTTGTGTTGTCTGCATACCCAAACATATCCACAGAGATAGGTGACAGTCAAAGAGACACTGCCATCTGGCTATGCCAATCTGTGCATGTGTGCTTGCTGTGTGTGATTGTGCAAGTGTGTATGTACAGTTGGGGGTTGCAGATGAGTTCTCACAGAGCAACAGAGTAATCATCTCTGCTCTAGAGCCTGAGCCACATGTTACTATTGTCATGTGGCTTTGTTCTCAGCCGATTCTACTTGGAAGTACTCAGAACACATGTGACAGACTCATGATTGAGATACAAGGGAACCAGATTAAAGTCGCTCGAACTGTTTGAGGATAATTTGGTAAAATATCTGAGCTTCATTTTGCTTTTTGTCATTGTGCGTACTGTAAGTGCATGACCCTATTGACACACACCTTGCTAAAAATACCAGATGAAACATTTATTAAATAAAAAATGGACTGTATTGTGTGCTGTAAACCAGTTAAAGGGACTCAATAGTGGCATTGGCTCTATTCTCGGTGGATGGTCTTTTTGTGTTGATATGACCATGCACACAGATAGAACACACCACCATGTCAAAGCTGTGGGATGTAAACAGAGAAAATCCACTGTAGCCTCTCCTATCTGCCAGCATGTGCAACATGTTTGCTGTGTGTGTGACACCAGGTGATGTGAATGTGACACCAGATTGTCACATTTTTCCTCGGGCCAGATGGGACTCGCTGCATGTCGAGCCACTTGACATCACTGTCAAGCTCTATCAATTGACCTCTGACTCCAGGTCACTTTATGCTGCGAGTTAATGATGTGTTCACACCACCTCATGACAAACAGCAAACACCCAGAGTACACCGCCCGTCAAAGGAAATGTGTCTTTGTGTTGCTTGCTCAAACAGAAACAACAAAAAAAAACACAAGCAGTCAGACAGCTTGATAAAAAGACAACAGTTTAGCAGTTTAGAAAAGTGAGCACACCCCAAATGTTGATAATGATCCCTAATTGTACAGGACAACTGTATGCACACATCTACAGAGTAAAAGGTCAAAGGTCAACCGGAAAATCAGTCTGATGGGAGACTCTTGACCAACCTGCTAGCTGAATAGTGGCATGTTCAGACTTTTTTGACTGGGGTAACCCAAGTGGGGCACTGACTGAGGCTGCATCACACCAAATCAGGCATTACGGTGAAAAAGTCAGTCCTCCCATTACATTGAATGTGGTGAGTGCATTTGTGTGAGGTGTTCAGCTATTCAGCACTCATTCATTGTGCTTGGCTCTGTCTCCTTAGACGGAGTGGCCAGAGTCGTCTGCGCTCTGCTGCTCCGAGAGTGTGGCGCTCTGAATAACCCAACAGTACATTCTAACAGCTCTTTGACTTAACGAACGGTCCAGTTTCTACCAGAGCACGCTCGAACAAACCCCGGTAAGGCTGGGCAATAATTCAATAGGATAATTTATAGTCTTTCAATGGAATTGTGATGAAATCATATATTCAGATATCGTTATCCACGTTTAAATATCGAGACATCGTTTTACACGATTACATCTTCTAAATTGATATTAACAAGCACATACTAAGTCAAATTTCTCAGAACATTCTGCACTAAAGTTCTTAACCAAAGAAGAAAATAGTTAGGATAGAGGATTTGAGCCATAACTCCCAACCCTCGTAACACGGGTTTGACAATGTTGTTTTAATAGTTTTTACAAAAGAAATGTACATTGGATATATTTCAGTAGCAGTTTATTAGAAAGGATGTTTATTTTTACGACACGGGCAATGAGCTGTGGCTTCTCCATTATATCATATTCCAGACAGGCATTCTGCACAGTTGGTGGAAGTATCGTTATCAGAACTTTTAAAGTAGATAACTTATACATTGATGCCATTTGAATTGTAATGGTGAAGCACTGCACTGCAAACAAACTTGAACCACATTCTCCCCTTTGCTGTAAAGACTTTTACACATTCTTTCAAGCACAGGTGTGTTAAGCACTCCCAGCAAGGAAACTCAAAAGTACCTCCAGGTTGTAGCGCTCCATCAAGAGTCTCAGAAACTGTGGACAGTGGACAGTTTGGCTAGTCATTTGATTATTTGCCTCTGTTTTTACTTGAGCTAACCTCAGGTGTTGTGTAAAACCTGTGTGATTGCTTGACTGCCCATATTTCTTGCCTCTGGACTTTTTCATTGCGATTTGAGCAGTTAACTTGTAAGTACAATGACAATATACCTGACATGAATTATTACCAAAAATATGAAAGTAAGACACAGGTTGTGCTAAACCAGAATTTTCCTTCAAGGAAAAAGTGCTTTGATATCACTCAGCATTACTGGTCAACATGACATGTGTGTGTAGATGCTTTTGTTCTCTCAAACCCTGTCACGATCATGAAATAAAGTGTATCTTTCTTAGAATCACTCCTCGTCTCTCTCAGAGTAAAATATCACAGCCCCTGACAAAGATCCACTAATGTCGTTTGGAGTGGAGATTGGATCTGGAACAACGCTGCAATGAGCCATGAGATGGACGGGAAGTTTCCTCCTCACTGTATTGTCTGGGATCGATAGCTCTATCTCTTCGCTCTGAACTTGGGTTGACTCCAGCATTAGAGCGGTTAGCGTAGGTCAGCACGGCTTCTGTTACAATTAGCAGGAAGCTTTATTCTACATTGCAGTAATCCCTCCACATAGGCACACAGGGGTCATGTTACACACAGATGTTTCTCTCTCTGCCGCTTTGGAGGAATCCATTAAAATTGCTCAGCTGGAAATTCACATGCCACTTGTGATGGTTTCTTGCTGAAAGAGGGCATGACAGTTGCATGGTGAAAAACAGGGTAGTTCACTAACAAGGACTACGCCAATAACAGTATGAGTTTCGAGAGGTTTATTGCATAGTGGATAGATTGTTAGATTCAAGAAGCGGAAGGGATCAAGGGATGAAATAGATATAGGGTAGGGGTAGAGGGATGAAGGGGAGTAGGGTAGAAGGATGATGGGATGTGGCGGTAGGGAGGAAGGGATGTGGGGTCGAGATAGAGGGATGAAGGGATGGAGGGGGTGTAGGGTAGGGGTAGAGGGATGAAGGGATGTAGGGGTCGAGGTAGAGGGATGAAGGGTAGGGGTCGAGGTAGAGGGGTGAGGGATGAGGGGTAGGGGTCGAGGGATGAGAGATGAGGGGTCGAGGTAGAGGGATGAGGGATGAGGGGTCGAGGGATGAGGGATGAGGGGATGTAGGGTAGAGGAATGAAGGGTAGAGGGATGAAGGGATGTCAGGAAGAAGAAACGAGGAGGGTTTGTAGAAAGGAGGTTAGGCGATCGATGGGGGACCGTTGATGTCCAGCAACTGGCGGGAACGGGGGGACTGGAGACTGTAGGGTGGGGGCCATCTCTTCGGAAGCTCTGGCGGAGCAGAGTCTCCAAAAGATAGCTCCATAAAGACTGATGCCGATGGCCGTTTCTGGAGTCGTTCGGGTTGGTACGAACTTACCTGAGGTACGCGGGGAAAGACCGATGATCGCGTGTCTTGAGGGTGTGGTTGGAAATTCCTTGGCTTGAAGAGGTGGAGGCGGCGCTGAGTAAACTCGGGGTATTCTGGATCGGGCCAAGATATGGAGGAAGTGGTGGTAAGCCCGAAACCGCAACAGGGATCTTGCGGGGAATTCGGCTGGCTGAAATCTGGGCTTAAGTAGTCGCGGATGGGTTCGTACGGACTCGAGTACGAGTCCGGTTGGAAACGGTAGATAGTTGAAGAGGACCGTATTGGTTGGTCTTGCGGCATTTGAGGCGATAGACGACCGTGTCAGAAGGATGGATGTGATGTCGAACGCGGTGGCATGTCGGGACGGATGGAGTCCAAGGCGGTGAACTCGGAGCAGCGAAAGAAGCTGGCAAGAACGTGGACTTTAATGCTTTGTCCGTGAAGGGAGACGTATGACCTGAGCTGGGGGTGAGGATGCCGCAGGTGAGGAGGTCCGAAGTGAGGGGCAGCCATTTAGGCGCTATATTCCGAATGGATGGCAATGGTCTTGATGGACCGTTCATGCCCCAAAAGAATGGCTACTATGGCTATGGAATGCATTTCGTAGATCGCGGAGGAAGGTGTGGGGGATGAGAACTCAAGTGGCCGAGGACCGATTGTCACTGTAGAAGCCGTCGAAGCTGATCGAGGGTGCTGCGTCTGTGAAAAGCTGGATGTCTTCCGGCTTAGTGACGTGTTCGTCGTGGAAGTTGGAGATGCCGAGAGGAACTGGTGTCGGTTTAGCTCGGTTTACGTGCTTCGTCAACTGTGACGTGGTCATGGAGGTTTGTAACAGCGGCGGGGACTAACGGGATGTGTGGCAAGGATGATTTTGTTTAATCTATTGATTCTATTTATCTGGTGGAGAAAAGCCAAGTGTTTAGACTGTGTGCTGGGTTTGAAGAGTTTGCTTTTCTGTCGGACTGGTGGAAATGGATGTTGAGCTGGGTGAGTGCATACTTCAGTCAAGAGACTGTCCACTCTGAAATGCGGGATGTATGGGCCCGTCGGAGCGTTGGCGTGGGGAAGAAGGGTCGCTGTGGTTTTGGCCGTTGCTCGAGCGGCTGAATCTCAAGGGGGTGGAAGAACGGCGTTGTGGAGGGACGATATCCCTCGGGGATCTCCTCCTGGGGTTGTTGGAAGGCGAAGGGCCGACGACTTCGGAATTGTCCGAGGATAGAGTTAGCTGTGGCTAAAAGTGAAACTGGTGGGGGGGCGGGGGGATAAGTCAGAGAACGCTGGAATTGTCTGCTGGCGGAGCTGTGGAA